TTTTTTTTTAATTTTAGGTCATCAATTATGATTTGCCAAACAATCGTGAGCTGTACATTCATCGTATCGGTCGATCTGGTCGTTTCGGAAGAAAGGTAGATTTCTAACACACGTCTTGTAAATATAAATTTAGAGCTATAGTGCTGCTCATCTGTCAAGATTCCATATCTGGAAAACTTCTTGTTACTGTATCTTTCAAAATCATTTTAATGATTCTATTTCATTGTAGGGTGTGGCAATTAATTTCGTCAAGCACGATGATGTTCGTATACTTCGAGATATTGAACAGTATTACTCGACCCAGATTGACGAAATGCCGATGAATATCGCCGACATGATTTGAGTTTTGTGCCCATTCCTCCACTTTGTTTTTGTTCTCCTTTATTCTCCGCTTCACAACTGTAATTGTTGTCTGCTATATTATTCTGTGTATTAGTCTGTGACTGTGACCTCAGAAATGGACATACAATTGTACACATCAACATGATTATCCACTTTCTCTTTGACGTTGATTTCTCATTCTTTTTTTTTATGTAAAGTTGAGAATCAGAGCGCACTGGTTATTGATTGTCGAGTGAGACAGCGGCACAAGTTGCTCTTTGTGCGCCTGCGGTGCATTCACTCCTTTTCCCAGATATTCTTCTCGTCATCGGCTCGATGGCTCCTACGTAATCTTTGCTGAGTCTTGAGATACATTTCTGTTTCTAAAACTATCATTGTCCAGAATTCCAAGCTATATCTTGGAGTGTTGAGTAATTTACATTGTTGTGACATACAGTTGTCAAAGGTCAATAATAAGCTTTCATTCAAATAAAAGTACACATTAATGGTTAGGGTCAGGTGGTATAGTGTCCCCTCGTCATAGTTGTTGGTGATCATGTAATTTTAATGAATGGTCAATAATCAACGCTTATTCTACTAGAAAGAATTTTAATCCATTGACGACCACGTGGAACACGGGTGTGTCACGCATTTCCAACGCGTACCCTTCAGTTTGTTAATTTTTCTGATCGCTCCATTCTGAACTGCTACATTTAACAGAAATTTACAATGTGTTTAGCAGGTGTTGCCTGATTGACTCTATGAACTTTTATAGCTTTTTAACGATGAACAGCTGTTTTATAATTGATTTCAAAAGTAAACGCGGATGAGATGACGCGGCGGCACCTCTGAGAAGTGCAATTTGAAAATAAGCTGCTTTATCCAGGATCGTATGTGGATCGGTTTTTTTTTAACTTCTGTTTTTGTTCAGGTACAAGTGTAGGTAAAACTTCGCAAATATTAGTATGCCTATTTCGAAAACTAGTGTTACGATCAGCACGTTGCTTGCAACCTTGTGAATTAATGCACTTTTACCTTCATCTTCGCATTTCATGTAATCTCGTCGTATTTTCAGTCGTCTTCCATGAATCTTTTGTCTCATTTTCTAGTTTTCATGAAAGCCGTATAAAGGGTGCTGTAGCCATTGTCTTTTTTCCATGCTACATTGCCTCAACTGCGAAAGCGCTTCATTTAGATTTCACCATTAACCTACGACGCGATAAGATGATTTACAAGGATGCCCGGAATTGACTTAAACAACATCGCGAGCGGACTATTTACCTTATGGAATAGACAACCAGCATGTTCTGTAGTGGTCCACTGGCATTTAGTACCTGAAAAAAAAGAGAATATATAAAAATGCTATGCAATCCATGTCCTGCCCTCCTGGAGTGTAGAAACAGTCAA